GTTGGTTGGAGAACCCCAGTTCTGAGGCATTTAAGTTTCATATTCCAAGAATCAAAGACTATCTCTGGCTTGCTGAGGATGGAATGAAAATGAAGGTTCTCTATATATACATCAATTAATTATATTCTTTGTTTCTGCATTATGGTATTAAGATTTTATCACAAAAATAAAGAATCTTTGTCTACATAGTATAAATGAAGAATTTCATTCCAATAATTGTGAATAAGATCTTTAAAGAAAAACATTTCAATGTCCAAATGTTTAAAAAATTAAATTAATCCTTATTATATTATATTTGTGGTAAGACATAGATTTTGACCTATAATTTTTAAGGTTAAATTACTTATCATTAATAAATAATAATAAAATATAACAGATGAAAAAATATTAAATATTTTATTCAATAATATATATATATATATATATATATATATATAACAAAAATTTAAATAAGTAAGATCCCCTCAAAATTATCCAAATGTTTAAAAAATTAAATTGATCTTTATTATATTACATTAATTATATTTTTATTAATGATATAATGAGTCAATAATATATCATTTATAAATAAGAAAAGAATATAAAAATTATTAAAAAATATAAAATATTTTTTGTATAATATATTTAATAATTTATTTTAATATTTATAAAAATAATAATTCAATATTATAAATATATAAATAATTATATTTAGTCATCGTTAAATTTAAAAATTAAAATTATAAATATAAATTATATATATATATAAGTAACATGTTAAATATTTATTTTTATCATCAATATTATATATATATATATATATATATATATATATATTAAATTAAGTGATATGAAGATCTTATATTTTCTATATTAATAATATATATTATAATTAATGTAAAAAAATTAAAATAATCTGTGTAAATTTTTTTTATGATAATAATAATATAATTTATTAATAAAATAGTTCATAATAATTATTATGAATGGTGTCTTAAAAAATTATTTTGATAATAAAATATTTTAGAAATAACATTTAAAAATGTAAAGAAATTTATTATTTAAATTAAATTGATAACACCTCAAATTGGTGATTTATTTAAAATTTTGATTTGTGATTAAATATTGGTATGTGAATTCTAATAAAGGAAGTTGAATGTTAGGGATATAATGGTTGTCAATTATGGGAAGTGGGCTTTTGTGTTCCAGCAATATTAGCTACTAATCTTGAGGATGAATATGGATCAATGCTTAAGAAAGCCAATAATTTCATAAAGTACTCACAGGTAAGCTATGTTGATTGAAAGTTGTGGTTGAAGAAATTAAGACTATGAAATATTGATTACTAAGAATACATTGCTTTGAGTTTGAAGATTACAGCAAACAAGTCTGGTAACCCAAGTCAATGGTATTGCCACACTTCTAAAGGTGGTTGGCCCTTTTCAACTGCAGACCAAGCTTGGCCTTTGCTTGACTGCACTGGAGAAGCCTTAAAGGTGATGCCGATCATAATCATAATGAGTTGATTTTTATTACTTTCATTTAAATTTTATGTTCTCAATAGTTAGTGTCAGGTTAAAAAACAAACATACTTAATAAATATATATATATATATATATATATATATATATATATATATATATATTTATCTTCATATAAAAATATGATAATATATAAATATCTATAATATTTATCTTCAATAAGATTGAATTAAGTATTTCATATTTTTTAAGATATTATTATAACTAATGGTAGAGATGTTAATGAACTTAACGACTTATTATTGAAATATTTATCTTTAATATAAAGGGTACGATAAAAAAATCTTTTTCGATATAAAAAAATATGTTAAAAAATCTTGTATGAACTATATATATATATATATATATATATATATATATATATATATATATATATATATATATATATATATATATAAATAAATATTCTTCCACACGAGAGAATAGGTTAAGAAATCTTATATTTACTACAAATATTATAATATTTACATAAATGAGCATAATATTCCTCTCGTTAAATTAATTTTGTAAGATTGGGTTAGATATTTTACTATCTTTTAAGATAATTATTTTAAAATAAAATTTAATATAATATTATATGCTAAAATAAAATTTAATTAGGCCATGGATGAACTTTTGAAACATATGTATTACTAAGGTAAGAATTTGTTGAATCATTTGTGATATGAGATTAATTTGTTTAACATGTCCTTATTTTCTTAGGCTGCAATTTTGTTATCAAACTTATCACCTGAGGATGTTGGGAAACCAATGGAAACAGAACAACTATGTGATGCTGTTAATTTCATTTTATCCCTCCAGGTACCCATCATTTCAACCAATATATATTACATTAATTAGAAAAAAATCATTGAAAATCTATGTAAAATCGAAACTAACATTAATCAATTATCATTTTCATAATATTCCAGAATAAAAATGGAGGCTTTGCATCCTATGAACTCACAAGATCTTATGCATGGCTAGAGGTAAAGTTTACACCACCAATTATTTTTTATAAGATGAAATTTTTTTATTGTTGGTTAGAGTCACTTGTCTTTATTTATAATTTATTTATTTTTTTTACTTCTTTATTAAAATATTATGATATATCTATGTGTTTATCATATTTTGTTTTTGTTGCAGAAAATAAATCCAGCCGAAACATTTGAAGATATCATGATTGATTATCAGTATGCACAGCATATTTTCTTGTAACTTGAATATGGTGGTTATTTAGAATTGTAACAAATAAATGAGTTGATAATTTTCTGATAGGTATGTGGAATGTACATCATCAGCAATAGATGGTCTTGCCTTATTCACACAACAATATCCAAAATATAGAAGGAAGGAAATAGAAATTTGCATTGCCAAAGCAGCAAATTATATCCAACACATACAGTTAGATGATGGCTCATGGTTTGTTTTCTAGTCCACAAATATTTCTTATTTAATAATTTTCTTATTTTAAATATTAATTCTTATTATAATGATATCGAATAATCAAATAATATATTATTAGTAAATAATAAATAAATATAAAAATATAAAAAAAAGTGAAAAATTAAATTTATATATATATATATATATATATATATATATATATTTAATGATTATTAAGTTTGAGTCCAAAATCATAAATGTTTAACTAATACTAATCATAAATTAAAAAAAATAGATATTAAGTTATTACTTTGATATAAGTAAATATGATTAAAATATTATTATTATTTTTGATATTTTGTTATATTTTTACCCATATATAAATAAAATACATGAATAAAATATATATTTATATGAAATATATTTTCATATATCAAAAATATTCTACGAATTCTCGTCTAATTAAACAGGTATGGATCATGGGGAATTTGCTACACCTATGGAACATGGTTTGGAATAAAGGGGCTAATAGCTGCTGGTAAGAGTTACCAAGATAGCCATAGCATTAGAAGAGCATGTGAATTTTTGCTTTCCAAACAACAACTTGATGGTGGGTGGGGAGAGAGTTACATGGCATGCCAACACAAGGTAAAATAACTTCCTTTCCCCTCACAAAATCATTGTCTTTCATAGATTCATTTTTTAAACACACAACATAGTTTTCCACTTCACTACTTAATGAATCAACTTTAACCCTAAATAGGTATACACAAATCTAGAAGGAAACAAGTCTCATGTGGTCAACACTTCATGGGCTATGTTGGCACTTATTGAAGCAGGACAGGTATCACAAATTTCAATTAATTTTTAACTTATCAATAAATCTATTTTGTTTTATTTTTTCATGAAAAAAAAAAAAACTTGTCCAAATATCTCACAATGGTTAGAAAATAGTATGAGTGTGATTGTTTATTTGATGGTTTAGGGTGAAAGAGATCCCACCCCATTGCATCGTGCAGCCAAGGTTTTGATCAATTCACAAATGGAGAATGGGGAGTTTCCCCAGCAGGTAAAAATTTTCATACAATTATTATAAAACTCATAATGTTAGAAAATATTGATTTTTTTTTCTTTAAATAAAAACAAGCTGATTCAACCCTAAATATTAAATATGTTTCAATTAAATAGAAAAATGTATTATGATTATAAATTTGATTTGAAAATTAAAGATATATAATTTGATGTGCATGTATTTAACAAGTACCTAACATGGTATTTGTAGGAAATCATAGGGATTTTCAGCAAGAATTGTGCAATCAGTTACTCGGCATATAAAAATATATTTCCGATATGGGCCCTTGGAGAATATCGAAGTCGTGTTTTGCTTTCTCTGAATAAAGGATCATGAGCAACAATAAGTCCCAAGGGTTTTCTTTTATGTTTTTTTTTTTTTTCATATCTCACCTGCTTCTCTTGCATTTGGATACTCACTTACCCCATTTGCTACAATAAAGGAGGCAAAATAAAGTGTAACAACGGTTGAAAATATATGTATTATTGAAAAATGTAAATTGCAATTTCATTTAGACAAAATAGGTTAAAATTTTGGATCGACTAAAAATTTAACTAAATGAAGTATATAATTGAAACGAAATTCACACCTTACAACTCAGAGTTTAACCTATTTTATTTCTAATAACGTATCGGAGTCAAGTTATAGTGATATTGAAACGATTGAATTATCATTTATCAGTTGTTGAAATCACAAAATTAGTAGAATTATGATTCTAATACTCACTCACAAAATCACAACCCGACCTATTTTACCTTCGTCGGTTATTTGTCATCTTGAAGGTAAGTCTACCTCTTCTAAACTTCAACTTGGTCAAAATTGCTACAATAGGAGCCTCCTTCAAGATCATAGTGAAAAACATCATACAAACAAATATCGTTTCATTAATGTTCTATTATCCATACAAAATTCACAAAAGTTTGAGCTATAATGAAGGTCCATGACATCACAATAATGAAGACCTCGTTCTAAATGTCTAAAGAATTCGAATTCATGATGCTTCATATCATGTTAATAAACTGTTCATACCGTACACATTGAAATCAAGCAGTCTGGGTTCTATTAGAGCCCTCTGCTTGTTTCAACATGTATTCTTTCTTCATTTCCTCCAAAATAGAATCATTGGTGCTGTAAAAGAATTAACAAGAGATATCAATTTCGCATCCATAGCTGATGATACAACTTTGGTTGTATGGGTAAATTAAGCTGATGATAATGGCAGCAAGAGCAGTGGGAAATCAAATTTACATGAAGAACAAGAATGATAAACAATAATTAATGCTAATACTGACTGATGTTTCTCCAATTTGGTCACAGACTTGATGGAAATTTAGAAATAACTAACGTCTTGGAACAAAAGAGGATGAACTGACAGAAGGTATATGATAAGGATATGCAGTTCCCAGTTCCTCCACTCTTTCCCCCAAAACAAAAATGATTTAAATCATCAGACTAATATGCTATGAATGTGTATGTCAACTTTTGAGTTTCCATGGTTCCAGAATAACACAATGAAACAATGAAAAGAAAGAAAGTACTATCTAGACAATCTAGCACAAATCAAGCCCTGCAAAACCAAATCAACTTTAGATCAACAATATAAATATATTTTCAAAGACTACAATTTCACTATATGATTGGAAATTTGGAATTTACAGTTGGTAATCCACTGTGGTAGACATTGATCCTTCTGAGGTAATATATGCACACCTAAGATCTGTTACAAAGGACTGAGGCCGATTTGCAAAGCAGAGTGAAAAAAACAAGCAGTTAAGATTTTCTTTTTTTTTATAAGATAGGAGACTTCTATTCTGTCCTTTATATGGAACTACTTATCCACACAGGAATCTTCTAAATCTGTGAATAAGAACTAACTAGGAAGTACATAAAAGTTGAATTCCTCAAGGTACTTTTACTTTGCCTTCTAAGGCCTCATGTATGGCAATGGTTGTTTGTTATTAAGAGGTTGAGCCTTTTATCATTTTGTAAAAGGTTATTGATGAAAGCATTTTATTTATAAAGCCAATTAGGAGATTTTTTTTCCACAAACACTAATTGCAGAAGGGAATAAAATGAATCAACGAGATAAAATGAATTGAATTTCTAATGAGATAAAAATCAACATATACACCTCAATTGTTTCGAAAGCTGCTCTATCATCTAATTTTTCAAAAGCACCTATTGGGCATGTTTTGGGACAACTTTGAAAATTAGATTATTTCCGTGAACCATTATATGTATAATTGATTATAAATTATAATCACCAAAAGTGAATTTAAAATTCCATAATTTTATTAATCAAATTGCTCATAAAATTCAAGAATTCAAATTCTTTTAAAATTCTCTATCAAAACAACATGGTCTGTCATAAAGTATTTCAAATTCTCTATAGAAATGAATTATCCTCCAAAAATTATTCTTCCAAACACACTTAAGAGTTTACTCCAAAAAGAATTGTGTGAGCACAACTTCAACGGAAACTTACCAAGATATATGGGCAACGTGTACAGCTTTAAGGTCTATCTGGCTTTAAAAACTTTTCATGTTCTAATTTCTAGTTTCAGCATTAATCACAAATTACCTTCTTTTCAATTTGCTTCTTGTTTTCAATGATTTATACAGGAAACGTGAAAACAGCAGACAAATATTTGAATACAACAAATAGAGTGAAAACATGGTGTTCATAATCATTAACGAAAACAGGACAATTGAAAAAGGCAAATGAGGAATAAAACTTTGCCTCTTCTTGAACAGGCTAAGACTGAGTCTCTTTGAATTCACCTTTATCTATCCCTTATCCTTATATGTTTTCACTTGTTATATCTTCCCTGAATATAAACTAGGACTGATAAACCCTCCTGAACTACATTAAGAACTTAAATCTTCGGTTCAACAATTATATCAAGAATTCTGAACAAAACAATAAGATGCACAGACACAAAAGAGAATCAAGAATGAAATGAACAGGCAACAGCTACAAATAGCAGACAGAAATGACTAAAACAAAAATTTAAACAGCCAACCAATCAGTAATCTTCTTAAAATATGACTTTTAAGGTAATCATTATCAAACTCAAAAATTTTACCACGCAACTGGGATGACAGTCTAAAATAACTTAACACTTAGAACAAATGCATTCAACTTGACTAGAAATCAAATTCCACTTTTCTTGTTCTCCACAAAACAATCCAAGAATTGAATCAAAGAAACCAAGGAATGATTCATTTCACAACAGAGCTTACAATTGGTGAAGGCAATCATTCAACTCTTTAGCTTGTTGGCGACAGCGCCACACAACTGACAGGGTTTTCCCAGAAGCGCATTCAGCATACTTTGCCGTGTAACGATCACACTCCTTCAGTGCCTTCTGCTTCATTTTGCTGCGCAAAGCTGCAAATTTGACGATACACCATCACATTAATGTCACCAATTAAAAAGAAAAAGAAAAAATAACTTGATCTTAATCATAACCCCGTCTTGGATTCGTACGAGAACTACCAATTTAAATTAAACCCACGATTAACTAAAAGGGTTCCCATTTCTTCCTCCAATATCATAAATTTCTGCACTTCTTTTTCTGTAAGCAACGAAACGGTGAGTTTAGGTTTTAGGGTTAAAGAAAAAAATAAAAAAGGTGGTACCTTCTTCCACCTTCTTCTTAACGTGATTCTCGCGTGCGTCTTGAATATAACCCATTGAGGTTTGAGAATGAGATTGAGATTATGCTTTAGATATTTGTTCGTTCACTGAACAAAACTCAGTTGGGAACACAGTTTTTTTTTTTTCGTACAAATGCACTCCATTCTTACCATCCCTAATATATTATCCTTTAATATATTAATTTTTTTATAATATTTATATAATTAATTTATTTTATACTTTTAATTTTAGTATTGTTAAATATAAATCAATTATTGAAAGCAGTGTTTAAGGGATAAGATTACTCGAGGTACCCTAATATTAAGCATTTTGCAAGAATTTCATGTACAAGTATTAAATTGAGTTAATTCGACTAATGACTCATAGTTAAAAGTAAGCGAGTTTAACTTAATTTATATAAGATATTTTATAATCTAACACAATTTATTAATTCATTACATATTATATTAGGTGGATTCTCTCGTTAATTATATTTTATTTTTTTATTTTTTTTAATAAGTAGAAGTAAATCACATGATTAAAAATACAATGATGTAGTGACTCAATAAATATTATGACGTGATTGAAATACGATAAACATTAAGGTATAATTGAAGCATAGTGGCGTGATGATACGATAAATGTGGTGGTGCGATAAATACAATAACACAAGAAATATTGTGGTGTGACTGAAACGTTGTGACGTAACTGAAACATAATATCACGACAAACCAACGAACACGGTGGTACAACGAACCAATAATTATTTTTAAAATTTAAAATAAATGGTAAGTTAAAGGTCAATCTACTAAAAAGTTTCAGAAGACCTTAATTGAACAGAGATTTTAGATCGATTCATTCAACATTACAATTATGATCGAGGTTATAGTTTAGGTCATTATAGAGGTCATCGCGACCGAGGACGTGGACAGTTTGAAGGACGAGGAAGAGGACGTGATCATTCGAGAATGGAAGGGCAATCAACAAATAATTGTCCTCAAAGCACTACAATTGATGATAGGCAAATGAGAGGAGTTATGAATACGAGTGCAAAGGGTTTTGTTGAAGGAGGAAGTACAAGTTCTGAGCAAATGATTGTCCTCGGAGAACCATAAATGATGAAGGACAAATGAAAGGAGTTATTACAGGGGGTTTTGTTGGAAGAGGAAGTATAAGTTCTGCTAAAAAATGACACTTAAGAGTATAAACAATGTTAACATAGCTCGATCATAAGACCCGGAAACGCTACCTCCTATCACTTTTACGAGTGAAAGTTCAAATGATCATCTACAATATAATTCAACTATAACCACTATCTATATTGCTAATATGGTAGTAAAGAAATCATTGATAGATTAAGGGAGTTCAACTAACATACTCTATTAGACCATTTTTTAAAGATGAATACTTCACATGATTTGATACCACCATACCCTAGTTGTTAGTTGAATTTGTTGGAGAAAGGGTTCATACACATGGATACGTTAATTTGTTGACAACCTTTGGAAGTGATGAGCAAAGCAAAAATCTTCTAGTAAGATATATATTAATAGAAGTTGACACTTCTTATAATGTGTTAATAAGAAGAAAGACGTTAAATAAGCTTGGAGCCATTCTTTCTACTCCATATATGGCCATGAAGCTTCCTATTGAAGGAGGACACATAATTACAATTAAAGCAGATCCCAAAGAAGTAAGAGAATGTTATGCATTTAGCCTTAAAACAACTCTACTCTTTAAAGCGAGTGAGAGAAGATTGTTCCTAATAGGCATCTGTCAATAATATTGAAGAAGTAAATGTTAATCCTCGGCATGAGGCGAGACGATCACCAGGGCTTTGATGAGCCAATATCATATTTTTAACTCAGATTACATCCTGGGCAGACAACTCAAATTAGAGAAAGAATAGAAGCCAATTTGTGAAGTCACATAAAAAAGATACTCCATAAAAAAAAAAAAATTAGGAGCCATGATCTCTATGAGAAAATAGAAGTATTAAAAATTATTAAACTCCAACACAATAAAAATAAGTTATATCTTAATTATGAATCGAGATTTATAAAGGTTCTTGATAAAAAAACACATATGACATGTCTATACAATTAATTGTGTAAGAAAGACTTGATAATATTTTTATAATTTTCTTTATCCTCAAGAGTAAGCAAGTGCTCGACAAGAGATTTAAATTTATGAGGAACTCTCCAATATAAAGGGAAACGAGGATTGTGATCAAGGTAGAAGAAAATACATTGAGAAGCATCTTCTTGAGCACATTTAAATTTGAAAAAGCAACTCTTAATTTTTTTTAAAAGAAGAAAAGTAGATAGTGAATAAATTGTTGTGTTAAGAATCATTTAGAGATACCAAACCAATTTTGGAACCATATTTTAACTGATAAAAATATAAAAATTTATTAATAATAGGTGACAAATCTATAACATCGCATAAAACTTAGAAAGCTTTCAGAAAAACCTAACTATTAGGATGAAGTTGGTTAGGTGCAACATAAAGGATAGACAAAATATCCCAGTAAAAGGAAGAAGGATGTTCAAACCCTTAAATAGACATTCATATACAAAAGTGAAATCCTCAGAGTTTAAAGCAACTTTCATGTACACATGCCCAGAAGAAGAACAAGTTTCAGCCAAAATGAATGTAACATCAAAATAAGAACAAATGTCATAAACTTTACAAACATCTTCTACTAAGGATGAAGAAGTGAAAATGGAGGAATAATGTCTTACTTCCCCAAGAATCCAAGAATATTCGGGATTAAAAATTGGGGAAAATCTACCCTTTTGAGTTCTTCTAGTAGAAATCTAACCTATTTTAGGATTTTTGGAAGACATGTTAGTGAAGTCACCAGAAAAAATAGTTGAAGACATGATAAAGGAAACATACCTAAGAAAAGATTTGAAAGAAATAAATTCTCAGAAGAAGGCTTGAGTATGGAATGATGAAGAAATTGAAAACCAATGAAGGAGATATCCACCACTTGTCGAGCATAATAGTTGAGAAAAGAAACCTCAAGATAGTGCTACATAATTGCTAAAATTTCTCATTAATGCATGTTAGAAGTCATGCTAAGAAGGTGGAAAGACCATGGTTGGGAACCCATGGGTTGATCTAATTTATATGTACAAGCTCATATTTTTATAACTCTGATATTTGTTAAAATTTCTCATTAATACATGTTAGAAGTCATGCCAAGAAGGTGGAAAGACCATGGCCGGGAACCCATGAGTTGATCCAATTTATATGTACAAGCTCATATTTTTATAACTCGGTATTTGCTAAAATTTCTCATTAATGCATGTTAGAAGTCATGCTAAGAAGGTGGAAAGACCATGGTCGGGAACCCATGAGTTGATCCAATTTATATGTACAAGCTCATATTTTTTTAACTTGATCTTTCAAAGCTCATAGTAAAACACTCGATTATAGAAGAACTCTCGACTTAAAAGATTAAAAACTCTTCAGTTTTATGTTTTGAGTTTAGGGGGCTTATATACCTTCCGAGATTATTATTATTATCTTAACGGAAAGATTCCACCCAAATATTTATATTGAATACTTGTTAATACTCATTATGACGATTAATTATGCACAAAGAATATTGTCATTCAATATTATAATTAAATATATTAATGAATATTATTTATTCAAAATAACGTTAATAAGATGTTTATAAATTATGTTATCTTATATAATAGAGATATCTTCAAAAATACCAGACTTAAACATCGAAGTGTTTTTGCATGTGGACCTCCTCATTTTTAGCATTCACCAGAGTTCGGGTCTAATAAGTGCAACTTAGACCAGATTGTTCATGAACAAGACGAATTAGTTCAAAATATTTGTAATGTTTTTGTCATATTTTCTATTTTGGCAAGAACACTTGGCACCCATCGTGGGGTCCAGTGAAATACGAAGCATGTCACCTTGTACATCGATCATCTCAAATTGTCAAGATGAATGTGAAGGATATCCTCAATTCTTTAAAGCTCTACATAAAGAAAGTACAAAAAAAAAATGAAGAGAAGTTCAATCTAATAAAGTAAAACATCATGAAGAAGTGGAGGCTTTTAGAAGGCAGAATGCAAAAGTGGAGAAGTAATTACAAGCTTTAGTCTGATCCCTTTCAAGACATCCTCATTCATCTCGATATCAATCTCAATTATGGTACCTATCGCCCTCTCATGAGGATGATGCTTGGATAGAGGGAGAATATGATAGGCGTGATGTTGAAAATGAAGTTGAACCCGGGCCAAGTACGAAGAAGCCAAAGATTTATCATGTTCAAGGACAATCTCGGATGAAAATAGCAAGCACATTTATTCCAACAATTCTAGCAAAAGTCTTACCAAATGTGTGGAAAACACCCAAAATAGAAAAGTTTTGTGGCGGATCATATGCGAACAAGCATATCCAATCTTACTTGACTCAAATTTTGTATTCAAGGAGAATGATACCCTTTTATGTAAAGTTTTTCCCATGATGCTTAGAGATGTTACTCTCAAATAATTCTATGGTTTTTCCACTAGGTCAATAGATTCATTTGAAGCGTTAACTCAAAAGTTTCAAACTAGTTTTGTAGTGCAAGGTCATATCGATCAACCTCGCTCACATTGCAAGTACTAAGACAAGAAAGAGGTGAACCATTAAGTAAGTTCATGGAGACGATTAATGAAATCAACCTTAACTTGAGTAACCTTTCTCATGATCTAATTATTCATTCCTTGATATCTAGGTTAAGGCGAAGTCCATTTTTAAATAGTATATACATGGATTACCCTAAATATATAGAGGAACTTAGAACATGATCTACTTAGTTCATACAATTAGAAGAAGGTATTGGGACTAGAAAAAAGAGAGTTATTAGAAAAAGGAGGTCCATCTAATAGGTACAACTGAAAGAAAAAAAAAAAGATATACAAGAGAAGACAAAAAAAAAAAAAGGAAGTTCACTCCTTTTAATGTTAGCATCGAAATAATTTTTCAAAAAACTTATAATTTGGAGCTTATCAAGTTACCAAAACCTTTTTACCATCTATAGATGCATATAAATCATTCAATATTACAATTAAATATTACACAAAATAACATTGGTAAGAGCTTTATAAATTGTTATTTCATATAATTGAGTTATCTTCAAAAATATCATATACTCACTTAAGTATCAAAATATCTTTGTAGATAAACTTTCTTATTTTTTACATTTATCATAACTCATACCAGATTATTCCTAATCAAGACTGGTTAGTTCAGAATCTTTATATTGCTTTTGTATATTTTTTCTTTTGACAAAAAATATTATTTTTTTACTAAAATAAATTATTTTTATGCTAATTGACTTATTATTTACTAAAACAATTTATAATAAGTTTACCTAATTTGTTATTATTTACTTCCATCTTAATCTTTTATATATATATATATATATATATATATATATATATATATATTTTTATTTATTTATTTATTTATTTATTTTTAACTTATTCAATCTTAATTTATCTTGAGAATGGATTGATGAATTATGGAATTACTATGTCAAAATTTTAGTTATATTTTTAATATATTTTTAACTTAAATAAGTTGATTATATAAATATTTTTAATTTTTATTTATTACTTAAGATAAATTAAAAAATTATTATATGTGTATATTAAATTATTTATCGAATTAATATCACAAATAATATATTTTAAAAAAAATTACTTAAATAGAATCGTAGGTTTATTTACTCAATTATATATATTTATTGTTTTGTTCATACACAAAATTTAATAAAAATAAATAAATTTATCTAATATAACATAAATATTTTCCTTTTTTTCCTCATTTATTTTCTTATTATTCTCTCTTCATTTTTTTCTCTCTTTATCTCTCGTTCTTCTCTCACTCCATTTTATTCTATTCTATTTTATTCTTCAATTAAGAATATTAAATTAAAACTTCATAACATAAGTCTTTTATTATTCGTGCCAAACAAAAATATTTAAATAATCAAGAAATACTATAATTTAATATATTACATTTAAAAAAAATATTATATGAAAAATTTGAGATATTATAAATATTATTATTATATTATAATTATTAAGAAAAATTAAATATTTATTTTAAAGTGTTTTTTAATAAATATTTTTTAAAATTACTTAATCTAATTAATTATCATAATTCAAAATTACTATAATTAGGTGTAATTATTAAATAAAAAATATATTTAATTTATAAATATTTGATTTTTTTTAATTAGATAAAAAATAAGATAGAAAAAAAGCATAAATTAAAAAACATAAAAAATGAGAAATTTATTTAAAAAAATGAAAAACTACGTATAAATAAATAGTAAACAAATTTATTTAGATAAATAAATTCATATAAACTCTATTTAAATAATTTTTCTTTTAAAATATATTATTTTTAAAATTCATCATGATATAATCTTAATTCTCCTCTTAGTAAAATTGAAACACATGAAAGATTAATTTATTATTATTATTATATTTTTTAAAAATTTCATATTAATATAATAGGATATTAGTTCATAAATTATTAATAATTATGCGTTATGAAATGGAATAGCTTAAAAATAATATTTTAAAACTAACTTTTCTTTGTTATGTGGATACTAATGATTTTATTTCTCCTAATCCTAAATTAATTACATGTGACCATTTCATCGTGTTTTCTACAACCAAAAATCTATTCTTCAATCAAATTTAACAATAAAAAATCACAAAAACAAAATCAATTTTTGTTATTTATTAATTATATTATTACTTTTTAAATCGATTGCTTTCATTTGGTTCTTTGTTTGAAAATCGGAAATCAATCTAAATCAACTAAAATTAAAATATATATTATTAAAATTAAAACATAAAATAATATTTATTATGAATAACAATTAATTTCTTATATGAAATATAAAAACATATTAAATAAATTTAAAATATGAATACCATAATTAATTACTATATTTTTATAATATAAATTTTTTATTTAATAATTGATTCGTTATAATATGTTTAACAACTTTATAATAGAGAACACAAAATCGTGAAAATCAAATTGTAAAATATTGATTTTATTTTATTCGGATTTTTTAAAATTAAAAACAAACCAAATTTAATCATATTTTAATTTTTATATTCATTTAAGATTATTTTTTAATACAAAACTGAATCAAATTGTACCACTAACAATCCTAATGCATATTTTGCATTTTTTTTTCTTTTTTTCTCTACTAAATAATAAGTAAAATTATTCTGGTGTTTAAGAGAGAATGTATAAATCTTGTTAAATTGCTTCAAAAAGAAAATAAAAATGTTAAATGGTCTCCAAAAGTTACTCAAATTAGTGGCTATATTAACTCGAAAGACTAATATTATTTTAGTACAAAGTATAAATACTGTTAAAAAACATTTTTTATTAATTGAAATTAATTTATATATAAAGTAAAAAAAATCAAAACAATATATAAACGAATTTTCGCTAATTAATTTATATATTAATTATACAAAAGTAATTTTGAGGTAAAAAAGTGTTTTTAATCCCTTTGCTTTTTTCATATATTTATCTTTTGAGTCTTATTTTTTTTAAATTAATAAATTCCATCATTTAATTTTTTTAAATATGTAGTTTTAATAACTTTTCATATTTAAATATGTTTTTTTCACCTAATAAAATTAAATATAATTTGAATAATTTTATTTATTTAGTAACATTTTGTTCATTATAATAAAATTGATTAGAGGTCTACATATATAATTTTAACATTTAAGGAGTTATTTTCAAAATATAAAATTAAAATTAATGTTAAAAAATATAAGAATAAAAACATATTTAGCTGTCATTTTAGTTTTAGTTTATGAGAGAATAAATATTTGTTTGTTTAATGTTTTTAAAAATATTTTTTGATTTTTTAGGTTTAAAAATGGTAACTGTTATGTTAAAACCGTTTTTAAAAGACATATTCCTTCCGCACCCTCGTATTTCAAACCCATGTTTATCTAAAAAGACAATAAAATAGGTTCTAAATTCAATTTTTGAAAGCTTCATGAATTTTTAGTTGAAAGTTTTTTTTAGAAAAGTTCTGAAATCAAATTTTCAGAAATAATATGAATTGATATTTCTAGAAGTTTTTTTTGAAACGTTTCAACAATTAATTTTTCAAAAATATTTTAAATATTGACTTTTTAAATAGTGAAGTTATTTTTCAAATTTTATAATTTATAACTTAAATCATATGTATAAAAAATCATTTTGAGCTTTAACTTTTCGAAAACTTTTTGAATTGATTTTTATGAAAGTTTTTCAAATAGTTTTCTGAATATTCTGAATTGATCTTTTCTAAATTTAACTTTCATGAAACTTTATGAATTGATAGTGTCGAAAGGATTATATTTCAGGTTTCATAATTTAGAATTAAAAAAAAAAAATATATATATATATATATATATATATATATATATTTACACATCCATTTTTAGTTTTTTCATTCAAAATACTCAAAAATATGTCTTCAAATGAATAATTTCATCAAATTAAAAAAAATGTTATCATCTTTTTAAATAAATATTTATAGAAATTTATAAATAAAAAAATGTGGATTACAAGGAGAATATGTCTTTTTCTAAAACCTGTTTTTGTTTTTCAGTTTCTAAAAATTTATAATAAAATAATAAAATATGTATTTTATTTTTATTAATGACTATTATTCTTCTCTCAAATAATTATTCATTTTTATTATTATAAAGTTATTAAAATTAATTTTTAATTTTGTTATTTTTTCCTTTTAAAATAGTTTTTAAAAATAAATTTACTAAAAAATTTATTAAAATAGTTTTTTGTTTCAATTTATTTTCAAAAATAATTTTTTAAATTATCTGTAAGATTATTATTAAAAATAAAATAAAACCCTAAATTAATTGTTAATTTATTCGTAGTGGATTTAGTTGAGCGATTGCTTTCAAAAATAGTGTTCAGAAACACCAATTCGTAAGCTCCACGCACTAAGCGTCTGTGATAATCTTCTTTTTCTTCTCCACTCTCGCTCTCTGTCACTCACTCCAACCTTCATGGATTCCCATTCCCATATCATTGCATGGTTTGTTCTCTCTCGTTCTCTATCACCATTTATCTTTCTTTTTCTTCTCTCAGTCTAAGGAGTTTGTGTGTTCGAGTAACTTTCTTCAGGGGCTCTGGTGAAGATGGTCAACTAGGAATTGGCAGCAACGAAGAGAAAGAATGGGTTTGTCTCGTCGAAGCTCTTCAACCCTACCGTTTCCGTTCCGTCGTCGCTGGCAGCAGAAACTCCCTCGCCATCGGTGACGACGGCAAAGTATCTTAATCTCTCTCTCTTTCTGTATATTTCTTTTCTTCAATTCGTTCATATAAATCGTGGGTGTCGTTCAAAATCTCATCTTTTTTGGTGGGGTGGCGGTTTCCTGTCTGGTGTAGTTATTCACTTGGGGTTGGAACCAAAGGGGCACACTTGGGCACCCAGCTGAGAGCAAGTCTGAGAACAAGATTGAGAACATTCCCAGCCAGGTTAAGGCTCTTTCCAATGTTAAGATTGTCCAGGTATGCATCCATCCATCCATTCTCTTTTAATTCATGACTATCGTGCTTATTATGCCCTTGCTGTTCTTTTTAATGGTTTGCTTATTATGTGAATATTGATAATGAATCACTTGTGGTTGTTAGGCGGCTATTGGAGGGTGGCACTGTTTGGCTGTTGATGATCAGGGCAGAGCTTATGCCTGGGGTATTATACTATTGTTCATTTCACTCCTCTTTTTTGCTTCCATTTCTCTCCTCCTTTTTGCTTCCATTTCTCCATCACAATTGTTATTGTTGTTGTTATTATTTTTTTTATTAGTAGAATTAGCATTGTTCAAAGTGGAAACGTCATTAAACGTACTAGGTGTGTCTTTAGTTTCATGGCAGATTTTATGCAATCACATTAGATCTTCACATGTTTGATCTCATGCTGATGAATTGATTCTGATTTAATGCAAATTTGAATAGCTTCCTCTGTTGGATAGAAATTTTATACTGAGTTTTACTATTAACTTGTTTTCATTTTTAAACCATCCAAACTAAAATCACAGCACTTCAAAATCAATTTCTTTCAAAATTAATTTTGCCAATGCTAAACACATACTAAACTGAAATCACACTGTTCATTTCAAAATTAGTTTTCCACTTCGATTGTCATTACCCTCCTTTCATTCCTTTTTAAACTCTACACTGTTCCGTCCACTTATTTTATTATAAAATCATCCAAACTGAAATCACATCACATCACGTCAAAATCAATTCTTTTAAAATGAATATTGCTAGTGCACATTGAAACACACACTGAATGTATTATCGTTTTCCACTTCAATTTCCATATACCCTCCTTTCATTCTTTTTCAAACTCTATAGTGTTCCGTCCACTTATTAGTTGAATGGCTCTTTGGACAAAATTATATGCATACATTATTTAAAGGACAAGGTAGTTGTCATAAACAAGGTTTTAAAGTTGTGATTTTTGGTATTGAGGAAAATTGTGGAGAAATGTAATCAATGCAATTGCTGTGGTGGAGACTCCAAAAAGCTTTACATTGCAATCATAATCATGGTCGTGGACCTTATATTTAATACCTTGGTCATAATATAGGTACAAAGTAATCTCAGTAGCCAAGTCATACAGTCATTGACTTACTGTGTACCAGATTCTTTTCAGAAGAAGTCTTGTAGTAAAAATGTAAAAGGTGACTACGAGTTACACGGATTGTGTACTGTACTACATACTTGATAACTATTGATTTATGTTCGGATAAAATTCTGAAGATTGGGTGGAATGCTATATATTCTTTTCCCTTTTAGTTCTCCAAAATTCAGAAAGAGTGTTGAAGTTTCCTTGATGTATATATTATCAAACTTCTAAGAGCTAGCATTTTTTATTTCAGGTGGAAATGAATATGGGCAGTGTGGTGAAGAACCTGAGCGCAAGGATGATACTGGTAGACCTTTAAGGAGAGATATAGAGATCCCTCAGCGCTGTGCTGCTAAACTTGTTGTTCGACAGGTAATTTATATATTCCAAGGCCTTACATGCTATGGTGGAACAAAAATTATTTGCCTTTGTTTTGTTTCTCTACCAGTCTTTAATGTTAGCTGTACATTTCTTTTCTTCAATTTATTAGTTTTTTATTTAACTATAATTCCTATGTAAGTCTTCATCTACCTTTCATCATCCATTTGTTGAACTCTAACTAAAACTACGAAAAAAGGAGTTAGATGTGAATGTCACTTTCAATATTTTGTCTTTGACAGAACATTATGGTTGCTTTTAGTCCCTGTAACTTTGTTGTTATTATTGTACAATTCCCATGTAAACTTAGTCGAATATCATACATGTCACATGATTTACTTTCAAGATGTATAAGTTGCTTTTTGCTCAATGCTTACTAGTTACTTTATCCCAGAGAAAAAACAATACGGTATTTATACATATTTCTTAAGTGAAGATCAAACTACAGCTTCTGATATGTTGGAAAGAAAATATTTGATTTTTTTTTCTTTTTTTTGGTTTCTTGATCCGTTCAATGCCCTATGAAACATGTTCAAAATAAAATTGGTTAAGCTCCAATGAACAATACTCCGGTAAACATATAATTGTTTTAGTTGACCTATTTATTCTTCATTTTTATTTTAAATGCATAACTCTAGTAATATTTAAGGTTAAACTTGTGATATGTGCTTTTCCCATAGAAAGAGTGAGTCTATCAGCTTGGCTTTTTTGCTGATGATGTGACAGGGAAAAAATCATTTATAGCTCCAGAAAACTTTAGTTGTTCATTTTAATTTGTTATGAATGTGGTACATCTGAATGACATGTGATTAGAATTGGTGTTACGACCTTAACCCCCATAGTCTTGCTCAATAAATTGAATTTGATACTTATCTGATAAGTGATTGTGCAATATATATTTTCTTATAGTGTTTGGGTTTGTGTAGAACTTCCACATCTTTCTTATAATTAATGTATCATTTGCATATTTGATCCCATGGATTTTGCTTTGTTTGATATTTTTCTAAGTGCTTGTGGTGCAGGTTGCTGCAGGAGGAACTCACTCAGTGGTACTTACACGTGAAGGGCATGTTTGGACATGGGGTCAGCCATGGCCGCCTGGTGACATGTAATTTTCATTTTTCCATAAGAGTAATAAATTTATTGAGATGAAGGGAATGAAATGCTGAGAAAAAGTACAATAAAGAATAATTCATATAACAAAGCAGAAAACAACCTTGTAAAAAGTTAAATTTGTCATATTTTAACTTAAAACGAATTGGTATTAAGTGAAGTTGTCCAACAAATATAGCTGCACTCCAAGAACTGAGTAAGTGATTTAGGACTTCGCAACACTCCCTTTGTGCAAATGTCTGCCAAATCAGGCTGAGTCTAATAGAATAGACAATTACCAAGATGATATAGGCGATGATACCATAACATATTTCATCTTAAAACAATTGATATTAAGCAAATTAAAACAACTGATATCAAGCAAAACTGTCCGATAGATATATAAGCCACATTTCAAGAATTGAGGCAAACATTTGAAACTTCCCCACAAAAATTCAAGTGATAAAGCCTAATTTCTAGATGTATTTGTTAGTGAACTTTTTAATTAAAAATAGTGGCAAAAACACACATAATCTTTTCCAAATCAAGTGACATGCCAAAGAAGCTTCCTTAACTAGAACTCCACACCAAACAAATGCTTCAAATTGTAGCATAGATGGCACTTTGCCACAAAACTTGGCATTTTTGCTTCTACCAAAAAAATTGTCAAGCTTGATCCAATGTTTTTCTTTTCATTGCCTTCTTTATAATACTATGCTGATATTATCTTTATATGAACTTAATTTACTTATCAAGATGTTTTTCTGTGTTTTAGTTTCCGAACAGTTTCTACTCTTAATACTAACTTATCTAATTTTTTTGCTTTATCTTACAGAAAACAGATTTCAGTTCCTGTTCGGGTTCAAGGTCTTGAAAATGTAAGGCTCATTGCTGTTGGAGCATTTCATAATTTGGCTCTTCAAGAGGATGGAACTTTATGGGCATGGGGAAATAATGAATATGGACAACTTGGAACTGGAGATACTCAGCCAAGATCACAACCCATTCCTGTCCAAGGACTTTCTGATCTTACTCTGGTTTGTATATCTTTCTCTGCAATCATGTTGTTTTCATCTTCTATGTTAGCAGACAGAATAAATAATATATTTTGGCTTGTGTACGAACTAATGCATATTTCTGTATAAACCAAGAATATAAAATTTCAAAATGATTTTTGAAACTCTCCTCTTAATTTTCATAGTAAGTAAGAAGTACTAGATCCAACAAGTGACATAGTTGATCCCCACATTTCTGACTCTCTGCATAATTGCTACATGTGCTCCTTTTGGTTACTTTTTTTTACTTTGTCAACTTTGTAGTAAGATGGTTTACACAACTATCATTGTTTCATGTCTTTTCTAGTGTTTTGCAAGCTATCATTGGCCAAAAAATGTGTTATAGGACAATCATAAGGCTAAGATGGCTTGTCCAGTTTGCCTTGTAGTTTTTTTGTTATAATATATACTCAATAGTGTAAATTTGTCTTTCTTATGAGTTGTGGTGTCAAATGTATTGCCTCAGCCTCTATCTAGTTTCACATAAACAAAGTGATAACAATATAAATGTGTATTATGGTATGCATGAATTGGGGAAAGTGTTTTTCGTTTTTACAAATAATTATAATGAATCACATTTCATTTTCACATTTATTTTTTTGCATTCAAAGATTTGTATAATAGTGAAAACAAAAGAATTTGTTTTCACCATTTTCTATACTCAATATGTTTAAAAGCAAGAAATAAAGTGAAAACAAAATGGTTTTGTCATGATTTTTGAACATAGGAAATAAAAATAAATTGTTATTTCAAGCCAAATAGTTTCTTGATTACTGAGACAAACTTTATAGTGATATCTGAAATTCCTCTTTATAAACTTGTGTGATTTAGAATCAGATATATGCTTGCTTCATATTGTAGGCATATATCATTGTTATAATATGCATTATAATGTGTGTGTATGAGCAGCTATTTTGGTGCACAAGCAAGTATTAAATTATGCATGTAGGTAGAAGGCGATGTATTGTAAATACTTAGCCTTTGTTTGGTATTGAAGAAATTAAGAAGATGAATGAAGATAGAACTAATATAAGTAGTTTGGTGGGGAGGAAAAATAGGAAAAATAAATTTAAATTGGTGGGATCCAATGTACTGTTTCTCACCTATTTCTATGCATCCCTATATCTCTTTCCCCATCACTTCTCTATTTCTCTTCAACCAAGCATATATAGTATCTATTTGTTTGTAGGGAAAATGTAGAATGGATAGTGATTAGTGTAGATAAATGAGCACAAAGAAAGTATTTCTTTCATTCGTTACCAAACAAGTGACAAAGAAAAATAGTGTAGGATCTTAATTAGGTCTCATGTGTTTTGCTTTTCACTCATATGAAGAGAAAATATTTATGTAGGTCGCAAATCCGTCGTGGTGGAGGGTGGATATGTGATTTTCCCTTTTCTCGCTTTTTTTCAACCTGTTTTCCTCCTTCGTCATTCTTTGATTTGGATTGATGTTCTTGGATTTTGTTTATGAACATTGATAGGTATTTTCTCTCTTCGTCCACTTGACTTGTGCAAAAATAAATTATGTTAAGAACCTGTTCGTATACAAGAATGACCCTTACATGAGATGAGGCTGCTAGGTGTGGCAGATCTAAGATGGTGGAGGCAAAAGATCTAGGATGGTGGAATCGAGCCCATGATTTTTCCCTTTGTCCTATCATTTCTTTTCCAATCTTCCCTTTTATTTGTGGTTATGGGCGGAGGTAGCGAATCTAGGGCTGTTCATTGGTCAGTTTGAATTGGATTTGGTTGGAAGAAAATAAAATCTGAACCAATCTAGAATGGCTTGGTTCGGTTTGGATCAATTGGATCTAATTATATGCAAACATAGAAAAATCTGTTTCGAGGAAATAAAAGATACATAATTTTTGTCCAAAAAATCACATTCAGGGTGGATCTGATTAAGTAAAAAATTGAACCAATTTAATTAGTTTGGTTTGGATTTTCGAGTTGGTTAGGTTGATCTAAACTGAAGAACATCCCGGGTGGATCAATGGTGGTGGTTAAGAAGAGAGATTCTGAATGATGGAAGCAAATCTACTATTTTTCCCTTTATCTCTTCTTTTCTCCAATTTCCCCTTTTGTGGCAGATCTACGGTGGTGGATCTATGGTAGTGGAGGCAGCTGATATACAGTGGCGGAGGATGAATCTACAATTTCCCCTTTTTTTTTTTGACTTCCACTTTCCCCTTTTGTTTTCTTTTACTATTTCTCGTTCCCCTTTCTTTTTTTTTCTTCTTTGATATTCCCCTTCTCTTCTACGCCTGCGTTCTTTGACCCCTTTTCATGTTCTTGGATTTTGGCTATGAATATTGGTTTTTTTCCTCTTTTTTCACATGATCTGTGCAAAACATCAAAATTATAATGTTAAGACAGGTTCTTATAGAAGAATGATTCTTACATGTGTAAGAATTGTGTTAGCACTCTACTGGAATGTAAGAACTAAGAACCAAATGCTTAATTTAAGGACCCAAAGAAGAGCCTGCCATGGAGATGGTCCCAAAATCAGGTTAATAGGATATTTCTATAATTTTGTTGGTATAGTTCCATGCTTCCAGTGGGATCCGCTTGGTTAAACATTGGCTTTACTGGGGCAATATTTGGGTGTAAGATAGGGGTTGAGGATTGTTATGTATGTGTACCCTTCAAACTTTGAATATTTAATTATAGTTGAAATAGCTAATTTCTTTTATTAAATCTGTTTGGAACGCTAGGTTGATATTGCAGCTGGTGGATGGCATTCTACGGCATTGACTGATGAAGGAGAGGTACTTTTTTTTTTTTTCTTGTGTGTGGAATCTATTAGTTTTAAATTTTAATTTGAAGATATCCCTGTAATATATTTGAAGTCTGGGTTTAACTGTGTATATTTAGATTTTTTATTTTCACCTTTCTTCTGAAAATAGTTATGGTAGAAAACCATCTATACATTATTGTTTTTGAAAACAAATTTTGCATGAAAGTATATCTGCTTGTTAAACATTTTGTTTTTAGGTTTCTTTTTCAAAAGAAGCAATTTAAATGATGTATGCTCTTACAAAGTGGTTTAGACATGAGGATTGTTATCACTTATATACCATATTTTGACACTATCTCTAGTTAATTTGAGACTCGGATTTTTCCCAATATATTCTCTTGTGTCCAGCACTATTGAACTTTGTATGAGTGATATTATGATAGACTTTGATACCATCTTACAAAATGGTTCAGGCCCAACTCAAAATTTCTTAGTGCCAAGGATTCACAGTGGACATTTTTATGGCCATGTTTGTTAGGTTTTATGGGGAAAGCAAGGTTAATTGGTTAACAGGCCAGAAGGGCTATAGAATCTGACGGTAAATTCCAGAAGAGAACAGGCAAAATGGGAGAGTCTAGAAGGATTTGCTGATTTGGCAAATTGGTTATGATGATAGTCTGTTAGGTAGCCCCCATTAGTAGACTAGTAATTATGCTAGTCTAAGAAATACAAGGGGTTATGTTAATGGGCTGGCAACTGAGTAGGCCCGTTTAGAGTGGGTTTATGTTAGTAGACCAGTAGCTGTATATAAATAGGAAGAGGAATTGAGAGGGATGTATGTTATTTATGTTATTTCTGATGTAAAAAAGAAAAATAGTTTACTTTTTCGTTTTCAACCAGTACATCCATCTTTTGAAATCGTTAAGTTATGCTTCCATCTATGTCCGTAGAATAAACGATGAATGTCATCAGTGTGATGTATGTGAAATTGCTATCAAACCATCTATAAATATCTAGTCTTATACTTGAGATGGCAAATTCTTTTTGAGGTATCCACTTTTTAAGAATATTTAATACTATTAATTTAATTCCATATGTCTGGTTTTGTGGTTTCTATTAACATTTTTCAGTTGATTTGTCTATAATTTAATCTTCGTTGACATTTATTTCAGGTATATGGCTGGGGAAGAGGGGAACATGGCAGATTGGGATTTGGTGATAGCGACAAGAGCAGTAAAATGGTACCCCAGAAGGTTCAACTTTTAGCTGGGGAAGACATTGTTCAGGTACTCATTTTCTTTCTACTCTTGATGAGGTTGACAAAGTATGAAGCATCAGTGTCATGGCTTGGTAACAGCAACAATCACTTTCGAGCCTTTATCTCACTTTGATTTGACATCATTCATGCTCAAAACGAAGAACCAAAATCCAAAACTAGTGAAAGTATTATAATTCAACATATTTATGCAGCTATTTTAATTCTGAAGATCTACATTTAGCTTCTTACATGAACCTTTTTGACTTCGATGTTGTTGCTTCATATCTGGTACTAATCATGACAATCTAACTGAAGAAATTTTAAGGGTGTAATCATTTTATTGAGATAAGGATAATTGGTTTGTGGTCAGGTATCCTGTGGAGGTACTCACTCAGTTGCATTAACCCGGGATGGACGCATGTTTTCTGTAAGTATCTTCTATGCCATCTTCTTTGTTTCACTTTTTTGTGATTTGGTCATATGATAGAATCCTTCAAAAATTTGTTTGACTTTTATAATAATTGCTTCACAAACATCGTATGATTAAGCCTACTTTAAAATAAAGATATTGTTGTAGAATAAAACATATTTAAGTCATTTAGTTATATTGTTTATTGGCTTGAACTGTTTGCAGTTTGGTAGAGGTGACCATGGACGTCTTGGATATGGTAGGAAAGTGACCACTGGTCAACCAATGGAGGTCCCTATAAACCTCCCTCCTCCAAAGAATCTCAGTGACAGTGAAGCTGAGGGACATTGGATAGCTAAACTTGTTGCCTGTGGTGGCAGACATACCTTGGCAATAGTAGAATGGAAAGTAGATAATTCTTAATTTAAGATTGATTCATAGATCATAAAAATAAAACAAAAACTGGAAAGTAGATTATTAGGCTAATGGCTGATGATTGATTTGGAGCTCAATTCAGGTGCTGGAATTGGTCTGTTGGGTCCAGTTTGATATAATCATGTTTTTGTATAATCATATGCACATGAACACAGTGCTCATCAATATTAGTGTGGTGTTTGGTTTTGAATGGTCTTCATTTGCATAATAATTCAGGCAGTGTTTCTTTGGGAGAATTTTTTTTATTTTTGGAAATCATGTGCTCATAATTGGATTGGTTAACTATTGACACACTCTCTGATATTAGTTAAATTTATTATTAGAAATCATCATTTTTTGTTGGTTCTATTACAATTTCAATGTTTTTTATTTTGTAATTTTAATAAATTTTAAATAATAACAAAGTACACCAACAATCATTGACACAAGTAATAATGATTTGTGTCCCTTCACTAGTAGTTAAGAAGTCAAATTCTTGTAATACCACTTTGAATATGGGTTAGTGAAATAATTTCTATAGATATACTAGTTTTAAACTTTATTATGTAACTTTTTAAAAAAATTTATTACCATAAGATAATTTTTTTTATTTAAAATATTACAGTCTTTCAACAAGGGTGTATCCTTGCTCATGAATGTAATAGAGATTTTTTTATTATTATTATTTTTTATATATATAGAACTTTTAAATAGGTTAATAGAATCACCTTTAAATATATCAACCAACTTAAATTTTTAGGTTTCTCAAAATCTAGCCTATAAATAAACTAATCAATATAATGAAAATTAATATAACATTGTTACCAGAGGGATCAAGTTATTTTTAGATTAACAAGATAATTTCTTTTTATCTTCATTATTTAATATAATATAATATAACTTTATTTTTCTCATAATAGAAATTCATAAAGTATGTATTGAACTGAGTATTTTCAACTATCTATTATATCTAAGTTTGACTACTCTTAAATCAGTTAACAATGTGCTTAATTAAGCACTGAACCATATAATTTGATGTCTTTGTATGGAATGATGAACTTAATTTAAAATGGATTTCAAACGTATATCTTTTAAGCATAAGCCTTAGATTGATAAAAATCACTTATAATATGATGCACATTTCAAAAGGCAAATTAAAAAGAATAGAATAAAAAAAAATGAAGTAATGAATAAATAGTGAGCATGTAAAGTACAAGATTATTTCTCAAATTTATAAAAATTTCATTTTAAAATTTGAATTTTATTTTCCATATGTTACGAAACAAGGTTAGAAAGATTAGTTTTGTAGACTAATAAGAGACCTAGCATATTTTATGGTTGGCCCTGCTTTGCGTGATGCACAACTTCATCTTCTTCATGATTTGCTTTGTAATTCTAACAATGATTTACTATTTCATAGTAGTGGTGCCTTTTACTATTTCAATTCATTATTTTTTTTCTCCCTCAAATTTGTCTTTGATTGAAACAAAAGCAATAAATTCTTTGAGACCGGTGGGTCTTTGGTGGCAAAGAAAATGGATTTCTTGTGTGTGCTTTAATTTAAAGCAAGGACCCCCAAAATAATGGAAAATGTAGTTGGTGATTCTCAATAAATTCATCACAACAATATCTCCAAACAATATATTTTTTACATCAAAATTCGTTCAATATAACTACTAAAAATAAACACAAATTTTTCTAGAAGTATCCTAAATTCGTTTAATAATAATGAGTAGCACCAAATAATTTAATAAGAGTAGTTGAAATTTCAACAACAACAGCTGCAATAAAGATTATAATAAAATTGTCGAAAGGGATAATGTTAATATTCTTAAATGTTGTTGGTACAAGTTGTGTGATTTTTTTTCCTTATTTATTTTTAATTTTGTTCGTGGAACACTGGCTTATTTTTCATTTTGATTTTTTTTTATAATTTAATAATATGGAAAACACACACGAATAAGTGTCACGTTTATGCTAATTATTTTATAATATTCTGAGATAATAAATAATATTCTCTCTACGATAAATAGGATAATTTTATAAAATCATACACAGTTCTCCTTTTACATTTATAAACTAATTTAGTAATAATCTATCAATTATTGTGTTTACTTAGCGTCTAAAAAAAGGTGATATATTATAATTTTATTAAATTTAGTGTCTAAAATATTATAAAGTGATGATTTAAGGGAACAAATTATCTATCTACTTATATCATTAGATTTTTTTAAATTAGATTTTTTTATTTTAATTTAATATATAAAACCGGTTGTATTGATGGATGTATTATGTTGAGAAGGTGGTACCAAAATAAAATAAACGATTTAAAACGACTAATTTTATGTGGAGTAATGTCTGCATTAATTATTTTAGGTCCATAAATTCCCTCTATCTCAATGGTCTTTTTAATGTACATTGTTAGAGACATGGTCCTCACCCAATTAAATCTACATCATCACTTTCACTTATTATCAGCATGTAATGGATAAGTTTTCAGCTCTTTCTTTTTTTCTAGAATTTTTATTTTTACATTTTCCATTTTTTTAAATTACTTTTAATGTTTTCATTATATATTATATTTTAATTTTTTTTGCATAAGAAAATAAAAATATGATAAATGTATTTTTCATGTTGTTTATTTAACTATTCAAAATTATAAATAAATTCAAAAAGTTATATTTTTGTACAAGTAAAAAAAATAAGATACGTAAAAATACATTTTTTATAATTTTTTTGTGTTTCTATATGATTTTTAATATACCTTCATTTTAATTAGTGACCACATTTTTTTTTAAATCAAAATTGGAAACGAAAAACTAAAAATTTGCAGCCATTAAAAAACAAGTTTTGCTAACATTTCTCGTATTCACAAGTTGATCAACCAATTTTGTTTTATTATATAAATTTAGAGCGGTAAAAAAGATTCTGATCCGGCCCTACTATGGTACGAGTTAAAAAAAAAACAATTAATTTAATCTATATTTTAAAAGAAGATTATGGTCTAGTTCTATGTTAGGCTGATGCAGCAACGAACGAATTTTTTTTTAATTATTATCATATTTATATCAAAATAATTTATTAAAAAAAATTAATAAAAATATATCTTTTTTAAAATTTAAATATTATTAAAATTAATTTTTATTTAAGATATAGTAATTTAATATATAAATTACAAAAAAATAAATCATTCCAAAAAATAAAACTTTAAAATTTACTTTTTTATCATTATTTTTTTTAAGTAATTTATTGATGTAAAATAATAATTAATCTTAATAATTAGATTTTTGAACCAATAATTAATAGAGACGTACTTTAATATTTATTTTTAAAATAAGTAAATTTTTTATTAAATTAATTTATTATATATATATATATATATATTTAATGAAATAATATTAAAAATAATTATTATTCTATAAAATGAGTCAATAGGTAAACCTTCCACCTAATCTAGCCTAAATAATGTATCTTATATAAAGTGGAGGAACTTCTTAGAAATTGAGGGACCGTAGGTTAAATAGGTAATTTAGTCATTTATTTATTAAAATGTTTCAACGTGGTTCCAAAATTTTTAAAATTTTCAATTTAGACATGAATATTGAAATTGATGTCAATTTTGGACTACCGTTATATATGTTTTGACTCTGTTATATTAGATACCTAGTTGGAGTATCAGTTCTGATGTGGTTAGGTGATTCGTTATAGTTACTCACTACAAGAAAATAATTTATTACTGACGGATATTTACCGACGGATATGTAGACGTCGGAAAATTAATGATTACCGACGGAAATTACCGACGGATATTCAGACGTCGGAAAATTAATGATTACAGACGGAAATTACCAGACGGATATAATAAAATTGTAGAATTTGGTCTTACCGACGGATATATCCGTCGGTAAATGAAGAATTAATTACAGACGGATATATCACGTCGGTAAATTAACTACTTAATTATATCACCTTTAAGCCCGCACGACCGGCACCACTCCCATCCCTTTCTACATCTCATTCGCTTCTCCTCTCCCACTCATCCTCAAGCCTAGATCTGCGCAGCACAACCACTTCCGATCATCACCGGCGGCCAACACGTCTCCACTAGTGCCTATTGTGAGCCCTAACCAACCCCGCGAACCATCACTACCAATTGCGCCCCAATTTGATTTGTGACCCTCTCATTGCAACCGGTCATTACCTCACCAGGTCCTCCGCCATCACGCCAACCACCGCGCACCTTCGAACCACCATCCAACAACACTCCCATTCCTTTATTGATCTCATCCACTTCTCCTCTCCCATTCATCCTCAACCCTACATCCGCGCGCCACAGCCACCTCCAGCCATCACCTTGCAGCCAACACGTCCCCAATAAGGGAAGATTATATGGAGCTGGACAACTTGGTCATTGTTATCAGGGTGGGTCTGATATTCTCAAGCATCAGACTCAAGCAGCCAGCTCCTCTGTTAATGTTGAAGAGATGAATGAACTGAGGGAAGAGATTCGTCGAACAAGGGAGCATAATGAGCGACTAGAGCACCAATTTCGGGAGTTTCAATCACTTGTGGGTGCGATCGCTCAATTCCTACCTCCGGTGCACAATCCCTCATTCGGCAACGCCAACGGGATAGTCGGCAACAACAACCTCAACAAGAAGAAGATAACCCGGAACAACAGGACAACCCGGAACAACGGGATAACCCAGAACAACAACGACAACGAGTCTCTCGATTATTCCCATTATTAGATATTTTATCGGATAATATTGTATTTGACATTATTCTACTTTCTAACCATAGTTACTCTTACACGTTAAGTTTATTTATAAATAGTTTGAATTATATGTCATTTGTTTGAATTGAGATTATTTTTCCTATGTTTAATTTCAATTGAGGTTATTTGTCCTATATTTAGTCCTATATTTATGTTGTTATTGATCCGAAACAGTTGGAACTGGATTTGGTGTAGCGTTCTCGATATAAAATGTGTGATATGCGGAAAAATGGTTTATTGAAAAATTAAAATGCTTCAGGAAGAAATTTGGATATTATCGACGGATTTCCGACGGATAAATCCGTCTGTAATGACCTACAGCTAGTTCCGACGGATAAATCCGTCGGTAATGACCTACTGCTAGATTTCGACGGATAAATCCGTCGGTAATTACCTAGCTGACGATTCCAGACGGATAAATCCGTCGGTAATTACTACTGACAGATTCCGACGGATAAATCCGTCGGTAATTACCTACGCCAGATTCAGACGGATAAATCCGCTCGGTAATTACCGACGGGTTATTTTAATCCGTCGGTAATATTTACCGACAACACAATTTCCGACGGAATTTTGTCCGTCGCTAATCCGTCGGTAATATGTATTTACCGACGGATTTTTGTTGTTATTGACGGATTTTGTCCGTCGGTAATTCCAGTTTTTCTTGTAGTGACTTGGCAGATTTGCCACATCACATTAAAATTGCAGGAAGAAAAAAATATGACCGCGGGATGTCTTTAGGGTTTGAACAATTGAGAGTTTATGCAAATGGGTGAAGGAAAGTGAAAGGATCTGCAACGACATGAGAGGTGAGAGTTCCATTTGTCACGACGGTGGGGGTTTAGGGTTCCAATCGCCGTCGTATGTGAGATTGACTGTGACGAAGGAGGAGGAAGTTGGTTCCATTTAGGATTTGCGACGACATCGAGAGAGCAAGTTATTTCTGACGATGAGGGAAGGGGGACCTGTGACGACGACGAAGTCGAGCACGCGGAAGAGATTACCTGCGAACCATTGCGAAGACGAAGGAATGACAGTGACGAGAGAGGAGCGGTGATAAGCGACCATCGTCAACGAGAAGGCAAAGACGAAGAAGGAGCCAAACGACCCTCGTTGTTGTAGTGGCAAACCCAAAATGGAACCACCATTCTCCTCCTTCGTCACAAATGGAACTCGTACATCCACGACAACATTGCAGATCCTCACGCTTTCTCTAACCCATTTGCACAAACTCTCAATTGTTCATACCCTAAACACATCCACGACCCCTATTCCTTTTTTCTTGCAATTTTAATTAATGTGACGTGACAAATCTGCCACGTAACTATAACAAATCACCTAACCACATCATAACTGATACTCCAACTAGACATCTAATATAACAGAGTCAAAACATAAATAAAGGTAATCCAAAATTGACATCAATTTCAATATTCATGTCTAAATTGAAAATTTTAAAAATTTTCGGACCACATTGAAACTTTTAAAAAAATAAAAGGACTAAATTACTTATTTAACCTTTATGATTTTAATCCCCAAATGATATATATTTATAAATTTATCTTCTCACCATTCATCTTCTTTTACCTTTTTATATTATTTATTAATAATATATTATTTATCTTTTAAAAAAATAATAAAGGTTCGTCATTGATCATGCATGACCTAAACAAATAGGATCATAATTGTTCTAATTCAATTTAAATTATAATTTTTTTTATCTAATTTTATTTATTTCTCGTACCTTTACCGACTCATGGAATTAAGTATAATCCTCTTATATAAATTTACATATATTCTTAATCATAATAATAATAATATTATTATTATTATTTTATTTTTCTAAAATTTAATTTGTATTATGATTAAGTATATAATTTTGGTAGGGAAGTTTGGTAACCCTCGAAATCATATATGCTAGTGAATTGATTTCCATTGAAGTTTGGACACATTTAAGTACAAAACAAAAACTATAAATAAGTTTGGAATATTTTTAAGTTTACAAACTTAAATTTAAATCAATTCTATATTACAAATTAGGATTGTAAAAATAATATTTTTATTTGTCTTCTATTTCAAATTAGGAGTGTGTAGGGTTGGCTAATATTTTTTTATATAAAGTCATCGTTAATAAATACTGTGTACCAATAACATAATTGAAAAACAAATAAATTTGAAGAAGAAATTGAGGTAAAAACTTATATTTCGAATCAAACGCACTAATTAGAAATCAAACATAACTTTTTCAACCCTATTTTTGCAAGTATGTTTGGAATTTCCCAAATAAACATATACATGCCCATAATGATTCCAGTTCAATAAAAAAAAAAAAAAAAAACATTTCGTACACACAATATCAAAATCCTATTGCAGAATTATTACAACACAAATAAATAAAATATGAAGAAGAACATGCATGTATATGTTCCATGTTTGGTTAACTTTATGCCTTAAGCTGTTTTGCTGCTTCTATTATCATCCCAAGAGAATTCTCCAAACACGACTTCAATAGTTGCTTGTCCATGAAGTCCTTCTCCACTCCAAATGCAATTCTTATCTTTCCCATGTAACTCATGATCGTTATGGTGAGACTCTGCAACCCATCACCATATACATTTTCTTTTGAACCAAACTAATGTGAAAGGATGATGGCAAAGAGTGCAAAAAAAGATGTATCGAAAGTTTTTTTCTTTTTTAACAATACCAGTGATAAATGAGAGTGAGAAACAATTTATCTTTAATGTATAATATTAGTTAAATTATAATTTTTATTCATTCCTTCTTTTATTTTTTTCTTTGAAATAAATAATAAAAATTATATGTAACTAAATAGAGTGGTTTAGTTTGGTTAGTAGAAAAATAAAATCATATATAAATATACCTACAACTATATATATATATATATATATATATATATATATATATATATATATATATATATATATTATCTTTTGTAATTGGTTTTTGGTGTCATGGGAAAGAAAAAAAATAAAAGTGTTATAATTAAAAAAACAAAAACAATTATTATGATTTGTATATTTAAAAATAATAAAATTATAAGAAAAAAATATGATATGTGAAAAAAAAGTGAATATATTTAAAGGGTAGAGAAAAAATAAATAAATAATATTTTAAAAATAATATAAAAAATGTGAGTAACATATACTTTTAAGTTTGTATTTCTTCTAGTATATATAATATTAATAAAATGAAAAAAATAATTTAAAATTTAATGACTTTTCTTTTTATTTTTTTTAAAAAGAAAGAAAAAGACTTGATTTAAATGGAATTGTGGATCATATAAAAAAAATAGATTTAATGTAATGTTTAATTCAAATTTTGATTCATCATATTATATAAGTAGTGGTTTGGCTGGACCCAATTCTGTTAATTTTGATTGACTTTTTAATATGTCATTCAAAACTAATAAATAGAATTCAAGAAATATAAAAACAAAATGTTAATTCATTTAATGTTACACTAAGCATTAAATGATAAATAAAAGGAAACAGAAAAAAAAAAGTTCAGTGACATGACATGAATAATGAATAAAATTGTCTTTTTTATTTTTTATGAATAGTGCTGCTCCAAATGTTATTGGTTGACATGCATTGATGATGTAACCTAACAAAATGCACCGACAACAAAAATCAACACGTACACCATTAATGCAAAAAGATTATTAATGTGAAAAGCGAAATGTGCCTGGTGCATCATGTGCATGTTTTGATGAAAAAGTAGGATTTGTGGGGAAAAAAGATTCTGCAGAAAAGAACAGAAGATGCAGACGATGAAATGCAAGACACAGTGACAGACACATACCTCAGGTGAACCAGCCACCATGAAGTAAAACCCTTTGATTGGAAGATTAGCGACAGCCATTTGCTCCACTGGTCCAATCATGTTTGAGATTGTTGTGCTTGAGTTTCTTAAGGTAGAGTGCAGGTATTTTGCTGCAGCCTGAAAACACATTAAGAATATAAATTCTATGATTGAAAGTCAACACACTGCACTGCTTGAACTATCAAAGATTTACATAATCAACAAATAAAACATGTTATTATTATTATTATTATTATTGTTATTATTTATTATAATGAAAAGTGATTGCATTTAATCAAGGTTAGATACCAACCTCAGGACCTCTGAGTTTTCTCAGCATATCCAGAAGCATGCCAGTGAGAGGAGTGGCCAAAGAATTTTTCATTTTGGTCATCTCTCTGTGTGCTTCCCAAATAAACTCAAGAGGGTTTGCATATTTGGAGTCACTGAGTTCAGGAATTGGAACATGCAAAAAAGCATATTGATTCCCCCATGCAGACCTGCTATTCGTCTTCTCCACCATCTCCTTCACAGACTTGTACCCTTCAATGTTTCTGGTGTTCAGCAACACCAGTGCTGTGGACTGGCTCTGGCTTGATTTCAGGCTGATTTCTTGCATGTATAGCCGAATGCCAAAGAAAATTACCCCAGCCAGGACATCATTTATGCTCTGTTTTAAGTGCCATGACACAAAAAGATAAAAGCTTTTAAATTTATCAAAGTTTAGAGTTATTATAATTTGAGAGAGATATTTCACCTACCACTCCAAGCTTAGATTTCAGTTCCTTGATGAGATCCAAGGAAAAAGAAACATCCGAGATGGTGATATGCCTTGTCTTGGTGTCTTCAGCACAAGACCTAATTGGTGTTTGATCATCTTCAACCAAGTTACTCTTTAACAAACTCCATCCAAACTCCGATATTGTGCGAAGCAAAATGGAGGGCAATCTCTTGAACACCTCTTTGGTGTTGGAAATTGGTGATTTGGGTCTTTCGCTTGATGGGAGTGTGAAGGGGAGAGACGCTTTGTCAGCTCTTTGCATGCATGAAAGAAGGGCACCCATGAGAGAGAAACCATCCCCTAGAGCATGGTGGAGTTTGAACACCAAGGTTCCCATGGCTTTGCTTGTAGGGTACTTTATAATATGAAGTTCCCATAAGGGTCTATGTTGTGGCAAGTGTTCCACAGCTATTCTAGACATGTAACCATCAAGATTCTCATCATATAAGAAGTTTGATGACTTGCCATTTGGAAATGTAGGAACTTTGATATGATCCTCCAGCTTCACTTCAACTTTCTTCCACTTTTTCTCTCCATTTTTGTCCCTGATCTATTATTGTTCAAGTACACTCCATAGTCAGTTTTTTTCTTCTTCTTTGGAGGCAATAATAGCAAAAGGATAAAGACATCCCTAATTAATTATGTATATTTTTTAGATGGCTAAAAGGTTTGCCAATTAGGTAGGTGTCTTCATAATATATGAGAGGGTAATTGAACCTAATTATGCAGGTTCTATATGTAGCTCACTGCATTAAAGGCTTTAATAATGTATGAATTTTGAAGGTTTTTGGAAATTCAATTTTATGTAGTTAAGGGTTGGTAATCCTTGTACCATCTATATATATAGTTTTGCTTACCAAAACAAAAGTATTTATGAGTACAAAATACGAAAATTTAATAGAATTAAATTTTTCTTATAAATGTAAATTGACTTATGTATTTGATTATTCATAAACTTTCTTTCATTTACCTTTTTTTCATAAAATTTTGTTTTAATTTTCACACAAACTAAACTACAAATAAAATAAATAATTTTTTATCATTTATTATAATTATTGAATCACTAGAGTCAACTAAGTGATGAGAGGCTGAAATAGTTTATATTAGATCTTAAATTTAAACTTTGAAGCCACTATTATCAGTGACAGAAACACAAGTTATCATAAATGGAAGCATCTGCTCCCACTGGGTATTTTTTAATTTAAAATATATTTCCCATAAAAAAAATTAAAAAAAAAATAAATGTTTCTCCTACAATACATTTTTTATAAATAAATATGAAATTATAAGAAATAAAAAAATAGGAAAAAAAAAAAAACTAGATTCGTCACTAGCTACAATACATACACAGATTCATTGCAAAACTTATCCACATGCAAGAAGACTCACTGCAAAACTTATGAAAACAAGAAGATTCAAGTGAAAATGGTTACCATGATGGAGGAGAAACGTGAGTTGATGGGAAGGAAGAGATTGTGAAGAAGTGGCACAGTTTGAGAGTCATCAATGGGAACCTCAGTTTCCAAGACAGCAAGAATGTAAATACTGAGAGAAGAGCTTGTCAAGTATTGCCCTGTTGGACTCACTGGCTCTACAATCTCTTCCTCGTCAAATCCTTCCATTCCTTCACCTTAAAACAAGCAAGAAAAGAATTTGTTTAACAAGTTTTGCATTCGAGATTCAGTTCTTGAGTTGAGGCTAGATATAGAAAATGAGAAGAGAGAGGGAGTGAGAATTGTGTTGAGGGAAATTAATTAAATATCTGAGTTTGTTTGGTCCTCTTTAATGGTCACACAACCAGTACCTCTACCCTTGGGCGGTTCCTTAATGTTTACTGAAATTATCGAATTTGTGGTAGCTTTAGAGCATTCAATTCTTACCCTGTTAGACCATTTTTTTGGAGTAAGCAAAAAGGATGCGTGCATACATAGCATATGTTAGAACAAGAATTGCGTATACTACAGAGAAACTTCAAATTCCGATTGACAGACTGTTAAAATTGAATTTTTATTACGAATTAATTATGATTAATTTTTATTGTAGACATGGCCACAAAATTATCATCAATAAAATGTACATATTGTAATATCTAAGAATTAATTATGATTAATCCTAATTATTCAATATTTTGATTGTCTAATAAACTAGGAGGATCTATATTTTGATTTCTTATAATAATTTAAGAGTATTTCTAGGAGATTCAGACTCTAATGATATGGTATATTTAAAGACATTTAGGTTAAAAAAATTCAGCAAACAAAATTTCTCTCAAATTATTATAATATTAGAGTTATAAGAGATTTTATATGACCCAAGTAAAGAAATATGAATTATTAACAATGAATCTTTTAATCGCATATATGACAAAATTTTGATATGAGTATGCATTCAAATTTAATGAAAGATTTCTAATTAACCTTTCATACAAGAATACGACATCCCTCTTTAAACATCATGTAACTAGACTCACATGTTTGACAACACAAATAATAAGCTTCCAAGTTTATCATATATGTCAAAGGATAAAACAAATTAGAAATAGTTTTTTTAGTAATAACAAAACTATTAGCGATTTTGAATTAATTCATTGTGATTTGTGGAGACCCTATCAAAACTACATGCTATTTGAATTTATCTTTTACTTGATAAAAGGGTGTTTCTAGAACCCTATTGAGTTTTGTTGTTTGGTTAAAAAGATAGTATGAAAAAAATTAAAATTATTTGAAGTAATAATGGAACCGAGTTTACAAGTTTGTCAAGAAAATTTCTTAAACTTGATATTAATTTTCAAACGTCTTATACATGGACATCTCAACAAAATGGTCAAGTTGTAAGAAAACATAAACACATCCTTAACATAGCTCGTCTTAAAATTTCAAGATAATTTTCCTATCTCTTTTTGGGGAGAATATATCTTAATAGTTATATATGTAATAAATAAAACACTAACACCTTTGTTAGATAACAAAACTCCTTATGAAATGTTAAGGGTGTTTGGTTCATTATATTATGTTCATAATCAAGGTAGAAAGGAGATAAATTTGCTAGTCGTAATAAGATATGTGTGTTTGTGGGTTATCCTTATAGGAAGAAACGATAGAGGTTGTATGATTTGGAGACCGAAAATTATTTTGTGTTAAAAGATGTCAAATTTTTTGAAAATGAATTTCTTTTTAAACAATTCACTAGTAATGAGTTGGTTCATTCTGTGACGACATTTGGTGTTAATATTAAAGATAATAATATGAAAAATTATGTTATTTATAGATTTGCAAAATGTGAATACCTTAGATAAGGAGGGTAGAAAATTCAGAAAACCAACTTTCTTTCTAAAATCATAAAACAATGAACTTCTTAAATAGGAAAAATGTCTCAAAATTTCCTTTGTGGGAGTTCGAGAGTATGTGACTAATATTATTGAAGTAAAAATCTCATTTAGTTGTTCTTTCACTCCATAGCATCATTCGTGTGAGCCCTATCTATAACACATTATGTAAGTTGTGATAAACATTTTTTTTTGAAGCATCACAATTTCCTTGTAACTACAGAGAGAAAACCAATTAGTTATTTAGAGGTAGTAAAATATGGAAGATTCAACCATGAGATAAGAAAAACAAGCACTTAAAGATAATAGAATTTGAATATGTGTCATTTACCAAAAAACCAGAAGAAACTATATGCAAATGAGTATATAAGATTAAGTAGAATTCAGATGAAACTATAGAATGTTTTAAAGTTCGTTTAGTTATATTTAGAAATCAAGCTTTCAAAACAGGTGATCCAACCTAGCCTAATTTGCTCTTACCAGTCAAGAAAAAAAATGATAGTTTAGCTTGACCTTTATTTTAAAACAAACTAAAATTTTTAGCTTAACCTAATCCTATGTTAAGCCAACAAGCTATCGAACCAATTTTGGTTTGATTGAAATTAAAAAAAAACTAACATATTTATACCAAATCAATTAATTAAAAATATATTTAAATAAAAATAAAAATAAAAATTATATTTTTAAAAATTTAAATTTTATTAATGAAATTAGTTTTTATTTAAGATATAATGATTTAATATATAAATTATAAGATAATGCACTTATTCAATCTCATAATAAAAATTAAAAACTTACTCTTAATTATCATTATTTATTTTTTAGTAATTTTTAAAATTTAAAATAGTAATTAATCTTAATTATTAGATATTAAAATAAGTGATTATTAGACATTTATTCTGATATTTACTCTTAGAATAATTGAATCCCTTGTCAAATTAATTTATAATACATATATTTTTTAATAAAATAATATTAATTTTATTTTTTATTTAAAAATAATTATTAATCGCCACATAAGCGTACAAATTAGTCTGACTTAAGTCTATGTGGGTCATGATCTAAATAGGTCAGACCAAAATAGACCTGATTCAATTTAGGCCACAAATGTTTACCTAATCTGACCTATTTCTCGAGCCTTTCGGATTGGTCTATCAGGCTAAGCTTATTTTAACACCACTATCTAGAAACCATCAAGTTTAATTGATTACACAAAGACATTTGCCCAGTAAAAAAAATGGTTACCATTTGAATTTTATTGGCAGTTACTATAGAAAAAAAATTGGGAACTTCATCAAATATATGTTCACAACGCTTTCTTGTATGCTGACCTTGAAAAAGAAGTGTACGTGAAGTTGCACCCAGGCTTTCAATGCAACTTAATGTCTTAGTTTATGTTGATAATCTAATCAAATGTGGAAACAATCATGAAGTTATTTAAAGATTACTTGAGCAAATGTTTTCAAAGGAAACATTTGAAAAAATTAAAATATTTCTTTAGAGTAGAAGTGACTAGATTAGTTGTTAGAATTTTCATATGTCAAAGAAAATATGCTTTAGACATAATTAGTGAAATTGCACTGCTTGGAGCAAAACCTATGTCTATACCAATGAAATAAAATCATCATCTTGATCTTGCTAAAGGTGAATTTATTTCTAATTTGGATCAATATAGACATTTAGTTGGTCGATTGATTTATTTGTGTTTTACTTGACTTGAATTGTCATATTGTGTGCATGTTCTTTCGTAATTTATGTAGCAACCACACACGGAAAATTGGGAAACTGTCCTTCATGTTGTTCGATATCTGAAAGGAAATCTTGGACAAGGGATTATCTTAGATAGTTCTATCCATATGAAAATTTAGATGTAGTTGCAGATTTTGACTAATATTTTTGGGGGATCAAATGACATTATTAATAAATACAAAATGAATATGAAAAGGTGAAAGAATAATAAAAGATGAGAGACCAAAATTGAAAATATACAAGCATTTAAATTTAATGGTCAAGGACCAAAATCATAAATGTACGTGTAATTTATAAAACTTTGGGGAGAGGGGAGGATGAAGACCTTCCTCACCTCCCAAAAAATTCTGCCACTAGTGTGATGCAAATTAGGCAACATGTCTTCTCACTCATAGGTCTCTTACGGTTTGGGTTATTTTCTTGGAAAATTCTCCTATTTCTTAGAAGACAAATAAACAACATACAATGTCTCATTCCTTGGTTGAAGTAGAATAACGTTCAATGGCTATCACCACATATGAACTAAAGTGGGTGAAAAACATTCTCTCCAACCTTGACATTTCTTATTTCACACTAATAAGTTTGTATTATGATAGTCAAGCTATTTTACACATAGCTAAGAATCTCATATTTCATCAATATACTAAACATATTGATGTAGACTATTATTTTGTTTGTAATAAAATACTTCATGATATTTACAACTATTTTATCTTCTTACTCATGTAGAACTTGCAAACACATTTACTAAAGTTGTAGGACATGTACAATTTTCTCTACTTGACAAGTTAGACTTTCAAAAGTCTTCATGCACCAACTTGAGAGAGGATACTCCGGATAATGTAGACAAAATTCAAATTATAGTCTACATATTGTTGCCATTGCAATCAAATTGAAATTTTTATAAATTAATTGTGATTAGTTCTATATTACAAATATTGCAGATAAAATTATGGCCAACAATTTTTGTATATTGTGATATTTATGAATTAATTACAATTAATTTTAATTATTTGATATTTTGATTTCTTTTAATAAACTGAGGATTTGTAAAAGATTTCAGATTCTAAAAAATATTTCTATCAAAATTATTAACAAGAATATAAAATTATTTTTCCACGTAAACAAGACTTCAACTTGGTTCAGTTGAGAGTATTAAATTATAAAATATGAAACGTGGGTAAGATTAGACAATGTTTAGTTTAACCATAAGAACTTTCATTCTTACATTCTAATTTTGTTTATCAAAGTCACTTAATAGATTAAAGAAATAATATTTATAAATTATCTTTAATTAAGACACTAAATGAAATACGATGATATATATATATATATATATATATATATATATATATATATATATATATATATATAAAATGTTATTTCAATTGTTCGGGTTGTTTTTTAAAATTACAAGTTATCTTATACATATTCTTTTTCTTGAATACTTATTGAAGAACCTTTATAAATGTATCTATCTGTGATTACATCTACAACGAGTTACAACACCCTTAAACTTTGTCCATCTTTATGGAGAAATTATTTATT